AGCAAGGGGTGCTGCGTATCCGCAAGGCTTTGAAAAGCCGTTTCAATAATGAATCACAGTAATGTGAGCTGCTTGTCTACATTGTGCTTTCCCAAATCTTCACCTGCCTTGTATCACTGTCCATGTATCACTGTTCCCCCACCCAAGCCCACTGCTTTTACTCAATAAAGAACATTTATTTCTCAAATCCATTTACTTTATTTAACAAACATAAGTAAAAAGGGAGAACAGAAAATAAATGTAACCTTGAGGAAATGGGGTTGTAAAGTTGAAACAGGAGAAACATTTTCAGCTGTGTAACATAATACCACATTCCAGACCATCAAAGGTCTGTGAATGGGCACCTTCTGTTCCTTGTATCCTCCACCTGAGTTAAGTGAAAGGGATAATGGACTTTTCGCCCACGCCTCAGGGAACACATGGGGGAGGGTGATTCTGTGCCAGGCGATGCTGGCTGGCTGTCCACCAGGGTCTGCAGAGGGACTCTACCCTCCTGCTACTGTTCCTGCAGTTCAACCAGACGCCTCAATATGTCTGCTTGGTCCCTCATAATCCGAAGCATCTCATCCTGCGCCACATGCTCTTGCTCATTGGAAGTTTTCCTGCTCTCCATGTCCATGTCTAACTTCTCGGACAGTGAAATCCTCCACGCTCTCAGCTCTGTCTCAGCTGTCCCGGAGGCATTCATTATCTCGGTGAACATGTCCTCCCACATTCTCTTTCTCGTCCTTCTAATCAGCGAAAGTCTGCTTTCGGGTATTGATGACACGCCAAAGGACACATTTCCAGCTGTCAGTCAGAGGAAAAAATAAAGGAGCCTGTCATAAACATACAGCTAAGGGTAGCATAAAATCCCTCTTTACCCTGTAAAGGGTTAAGAAGCTCAGATAACCTGGTTGGCACCTGACGAAAAGGACCAATAAGGGGAGAAGATACTTTCAAATCTGTGGGGGAAGGTTTTTGTTTGTGTCTTTGTTTTCGTTCTCTGCGAGTCAGTAAGGAACCAGGACAGGAAAAATACATCTCCTTAAGCATATCTGGACTAAGCATCTAGTATTGCAGAAATAGTTAGTAATAGCAAAGAAATGCATTAGATTATCTTTTGTTTTAGCTTGTGAATTTTCCCTGTGCTAAGAGGGCGGTTTATCGCTGTTTTTGTAACTTGAAAGTTTTGCCGAGAGGGGAAATCCTCTGTGTTTTTGAATCTTTTGTTATTCTGTAAAGTACTTACCATCCTGATTTTACAGAGGTGATTCTTTTACCTTTTCTTTAATTAAAATTGAACCCGATTGATTTTTCATTGTTCTTAAGATCCAAGGGTTTGGGTCTGTGTTCACCTGTACCAACTGGTGAGAATATTATTCTCAAGCCTTCCCCAGGAAAGGGGGTGCAGGGCTTGGGGGAATATTTTGGGGGAATAGGACTCCAAGTGGTCCTTTCCCTGATTCTTTGTCTAAATCACTTGGTGGTGGCAGCATACTGTTCAAGAACAAGGTGGAACTTGTGCCTTGGGAAAGTTTTAACCTAAGCTGGTAAAAATAAGCTTGGGGGGGTCTTTCGTGCAGGTCCCCACACCTGTACCCCAGAGTTCAGAGAGGGGAAGGAACCCTGACAGAGCCATTGTACATGAATAAAATGTTTCCATAGCAAGGCCGTTTTCATTAAAAAATATATATATATATATTATAGTAGGTGCAAGCCATAACATAATCAGAATCCGTAACCATTCACTGTGCTGTTTTGCTGCTCCAGCCATGGTGAGTAGGCCCCCCTGGGTAATGGGTGACCGCACTTTTCATTAAGTTTATGGCAGGCTAATCTCAGGAGCAGAGGTAGCTAGATGAACAATGGCCTTTCCCCATAGCACCAAGGGAAGCTGTTTACTAACGGGGTGGGGAGGGGGAACGTTTTCACTCCCAAATTGCGGAATCTCTCATATGGGGCCCCAGTCCCCTATCAGCTATTTTAAACTACTTGCCGATCTATGCTGAGCACAGTAAAGGCACATTAGCGGCCGCGTGGTTTGGCGATCCAGAATGGGGGGGGGGGGCGCTACATGTCCTTTTTTTTCTTGTAAGAGCACTTTTAATGAGAACTTCCCCCATTTCCCCTAGGCAACCCTATGTGATATCAGTCTCCTAAGGGTAACAAGGGCAGAAAGGAAGGAGATGCTGCAAGCGTCTGGATGCAGACCCGGTCCTTATGCTGTGTACCACAATGATGCCAGCAGAATTAATTCAGGAGTTGTGTGGGAAAGTGTCTTACCATGGTGGAAGAAACAAAGACTCCCCTGCCCAGAAACCTTGTGCAAAGGATTGCAGAGTACCTCCATGAAAGTTTCCTAGAGATATCCATGGAGGGTTCCCAGGCTATTCCAGTTCACATAAATAGTCTTTTCCAGGGGCCACCCTCTATGTAGCTGGAGCGGCCTCTTGTAAGCAGAGAGCCACAGCACCTCCCTTTTTCTTCACAGTAAACCTGCCATACCACTGAATGTGTGAGCCCACTAAAGTTTAACTGAACTTTGATTGTACCTGTATACTCACCAGAGGTAACTTCCCCTGCATCATGGTTGGCCACCGTGATGTCCTGCGACCCACAGAGCTCCCGGGTTAAAAATATTTCCTGGCTCTCGGGGAGAATGGATCCAGCACTCGCCTACCTCCCATTCTCCTCCTCCTCCTCTTCCTCATCCACCATATCGTCCTCCTTGTTGTCCCTAGACTCACACACCTGAGGTGTCCACGTTGCTTGTGGGGCTGCTGGTAGGGTCACCCGAGAATCACATGCAGCTCGTTGTAGAACCGGCATGTGTGGGATTCAGCACCAGAATAACTGTTCATCTCCCTTGCCTTCTGGTACGCTTGGCGAAGTTCTTTTATTTTCACACAGCACTGCTGTATGTCCCTTGTGTAGCCCTTCTCCCCCATTCCATGAGCAATCTTTGCATAGATGTCAGCGTCTCTTCTGCTGGATCGGAGTTCTGCCTGCACAGACTCTTCTCCCCACACAGTGATGAGATCCACCATCTCCTGTGCAGACCAGGCTGGAGCGCATTTGGGACATGTAGTCTCCATGATCAGCTGTGCTCAAGCTGGCATGCTCCCAATGCTGATCAAACAGGAAATGGGAAATCAAAAATTCCCAGGGCCTTAGCAGGGGCGGGGCTGTTTCCTGTGTACCTGGCTGCAGTGCAGCAGAGTTGAGAATGATCTCCAGAGCGGTCACAGATGAGCACTGTGTGGCATCACCTGGAGTCCCATTAAGTCGAATTACACAACACTGCGTCTGCACTACCTCGCAGTCAACCAAGGAAAATTGAATTAAGCGCTATGCCTCTCGCAGAGATAGATTACAGAAGTCGACATTAGAGGCGACTTAGGTCGACGTAAAGGACCCGGTAGTGTAGACACATACATTAACAGGTCGACTTAAGGCAGCTTCCTTCGACCTAACTTTTTAGTGTAGACGAGGCCTTAAATAGAATAGAATTAAAAATGTTATTAAAGCTAATGTTAAAATAATTATATAATACATAGGTTGGGAAAAGAGTATCTGTACTTAGATTATCCACAAATGTAAAGTTAGTTTTTAAAAGTCATATGATACATAGAATACATAATCAGCAATAACCCAAATTTAGGTGAATAGATTTAACAATACAGTTTAGATATTAGAATCCGAATACTCGGGTGCCTCACTCATGAAAAGTTCTACAGAGATTTGATTGTGGAAAGCGAAATATATCAATGAGTGGAGATTGTCCCTCAGTAATTGAAAATTAGGTTGGTTGCCCATTTAGAAAATACAATCCATGAGGGAAGTATTTGTTACTTTCCTGACTATGCTTCTCATCGACACTCCAGCTCATCCCTCCTGGTATTGCTGATGGAATCTACTATAATCTTGCCCCCAGGGGTGCATCTCAACTCTGGCTCAGCTGTGCCAATGGAAGTAATTCAAATCCAAAGTCTATTGTATACATTATTTTATATCTTCCTTTTGGGGTATATTTCAAGACAGCCTACATAGAGCCTCCTCTATTTTGAAACAATCCATACTTCGTGGATCACACAAACTACAGAAAACTAGTGTCTGGCTTCTATAATGTTTTGCATTTATATAGCACCTTACATCTGAGAAACTCAAAAGCACTTTATAAATATAAATTAAGATTTAATGCACCTGTGCGAGGAGTATAATATTTTTATTACTAAAAGGTCATTAGATCTGTTATGGTTTTATACACAGTAACACGGCACATACATTTACTTACCATCAATTAAAGTTTAGGTTACAAAAGCTTCATTATTGTAGGTAGAACATCAGTATCTAAATTCATGCTCCTAATGAACATAGTTCTATTTAAAATTCATGTATCCATGTACCAATAAGTTCATCTCATTTCTCTTTAAGGCCTGAAATGTGGTTCTTAACCATGTGTGTAACTTTTAAGCATATTAGCAGTGCCACTAAATTCAGTGCTTAAGTACTTTGCTAATTTAGGGTCTCAAGCCATGTCTACACTTATCGGTAGATCGGCACTGCTGCAATCAATGCAGCGGTGTGCATCTAGAGAAGATCCGCTAAATCGATCGCAGAGCGCTCTCCGGTCGACTCCAGTACTCTTTCTCCCTGAGAAGAGTAAGGTAAGTTGGCGGGAGAGCATCTCCCATCGACACAGCACAGTGTAGACACCGCTGTAAGCCAACCTAAGCTACATCAACTTCAGTTATATTATTCACTTAACTGGAGTAGTATAACTTGGGTCAACTTACCGCGGTAATGTAGACACGGCCTCAGTGCTGAAGCATTTTCAAAAGCACCAAAATCAAGTGAACTACATAAGCCTTTCTGTCTATAGAAAAAAGCATCTTAAATCAATATTTCTAGAATCCGAATTTACAACTTTAAATGCATTTCTTTTTGATTTTTCAGACTGCAATTTCCTTTGGACTAGCTGTAAACGGTAAGAAGTTTGGGATGTGATAGCAACTTGCCTGATCAATATAAAAAGCAGTCCCAGCTCGGATCTCTCTGCGCTGTTTCAGATCTGTTTCTGTGGTGTCCCTTGATAGTGCAATATACTCAACCTCTCGTTTGGTCAGCTCCTGTGGGCAGTAGTGAGAAATTATTACAGAGCCCTAGGCTGCAGCACAGTCATTTAAAGTAACTCTGAACAAAAATTTAATATCTCTTAGCTTTAAGATGTTTACAGTGTGTTTCTTCCTCACACATAATAGTTTGAATTTTTGCTCAATAAATTTTTTATACTCCCCAAACCTGTTCTAAAAATCATAACAACCAGCTATAAATTCTCTAACCTGAACAGCTGAGCTCTGTAAAATGCTTTATCTCCAAGATGACTTTCTTGTAGTGGCCACTAAAAACCAATGACCCACATAAGCAAAAATTCACACATTTCCTATTAAGTTCAATAGGACTCTTATAAGTTCCCACCCTGCTTCTGTTCAGTGATGTTAATATTGTTACTCAGAAAAATAACCACTGAGTTTAAACATCCTTGTGAGTATGTTGAAGAACTACATTTTTCTCCTACTGAATCATGCTTTTATTTTCTGTAAGCTTTTTGGAGCAAGGACTGTTTTTTTGTTCTATGTTTATACAGCACCTAGCACAATGGGGTCCGAATCCATGACTGGGCTCCTGGGTACTATGGTATTTATTATTTACATTAACAACTGAAGTTTTAAATCTGGAAATTAACAGGATTACCTCTATAAGAGGGAAAAAATGGGTTTGTGCCATTTTGCTGTTTTATGAAATAGGTTTGAATGTCCCCCCCTTACGTTTGTATCCTACTTGGTTTTTTTTAACCTTAGAAATAGCAGGAATGTCAAGCCTGGCGGGTCTCCTGTTCTTCTGTAGGCCTCAGTGGGGACTCAGAGATACACATCAAGAATGCTCTCAGTTCTTAGCTGAAAGTGTGTTGCATCTTTACCAGAACTTTCTTCCCAAACAGTTCATTTGAACATTTGTAAGCAAACCAAGCTGTGATGTTTCACTCCATATTATTTATGAAAATATGCTTAGGATATGAATATGACATAACTGAGATATACTTTTTGCAAGATGGCTCAGGTAAGATATCATTGGAAAGGTTATGATTTACTGAATGTGATTATCCAATTGTATGCCTGTATCACTTCTGTATCTGAAGTTAGGATTATTGACTATGTATCTGTATTTAAATGTGTTACTTTGGGTGTCACCCCCAACTAGTCCTTCAGGTACAACAATGGAAAAGCCAGACAGGGCTAATGGCCCATTAGCGATGACAATGGGCTGTGAAAGAGCTTAGTCTTCCTGTGGACACTCCCGACAGCCTACGAGTAATGGCTGCCACAGCCCTGCAGAGACATGGGTCTGAGTCACCTGGTATTGGACCCACCCCTGGGAATTCCAGTGTTCTTCCACTGGGAGACAAAGGGTTTCTGACATACACAAGAGCTATATAAGGCAGGGGAGTGACATCATCGTGGTTCTCCTCTGCCTCCCCACCCAAAGAGATACTGAATACCACCTAGAAGCAAGAATGGAACTGAGGGGAGAAGGGTTGAACCCAGGCTGGGTGGGTGTCCAGTCTGTGAGTGGAAATACCTGAAGTCTCAAGCTGCAGGCCAGTGCAGCTGCCTTTCAAGACTTTCTGTAATCTACCTGTAACAATATCTAGGGTGAGAAATTACAATTTGTAACCAATTTCTTTAGTGAAACAAGCTTAGTTTGCATGTTTTGTTTATTAATCTGCTTTGTTTTGTTTGCTACCCCTTTAACCACTTAAAATCTGCCTTTTATAGTTAATAAACTTATTTCTTGTTTATAATATAACCCAGTTTGTGAAATTCATAACTGGTGGGGTAGAGAGGGGGGAAGAGGCTGTGCATACCTTCCTCCACATTGAGGGAGGAGACAGATTTCATAATATACCTTTGGGTCTGCACCTCAAGGGAGGTGGACACCTGAGTGCTGGGGCAAGTCCTTTAAGCTGGGTCCTCAGAGCTGATCTCAGGGTCTGTGTCGTTCTGCAGTTGGGTGTGGCCCTGCCTGTGTATGTGCTGGAGGAGGCTTAATATCCTGGCTCAGCAAGACAGGTAAAAAGGGTGCACTGGCTGGCAGAACAGGCAAGTTCAGTGGTATCTCAGCACATCAGGTGGCATCTCGAAGGGGGGCAACCCATCACACAAACATAAAAGATTTTTACGCAATCTTATCCAGTTGGAAGACAGGATACTGAGCTAGATGGACCTTTGTTTTGACCCAGTATAGCTGTTCTTATGTATAACTGCCATTTAATTACATTTCATTTCCTTAACATCTAGTAAGTTATAATGATTCCAGTTCTCTCATGGTCCATACAATCTCCCAGGACAGATGCAATTTGCATTTCTAATGTAAAAAAACAAACAAACAACAAATATATGGCAAGGAAAATGCAGGCAGGCTTTCTTTATACAACATGAGGAAGCACAAAAAGGCACATTGTGGTAGATTTCAAAGCTAATGGGTGAAGCCACACACCCATGGATCATAGTGGGGTGGGCAGGAAACCTCACACATGGTGCAGTCACAAGACCTCCAGCAGATCTTTTAGGTTCAGTGGGTGGGTGCCACATTTCCTCCTTTTCCCCGGGGGACAGAGGGATAAAAACAAATGCACACCTCTATCTAAACACTATGAGGAAAATCTGCAAGGGAAACCTCAGAGTATTCCTTCCCTCAACCCCTTCCCTCAGTTTTTCCACAGAGGAAGCAGTGTGGCTCACTGTCCAACCCTGATATTCTATGATATTTTATGATTCTAACACAGTATGCAGAGATCTTGATTCTGAAAGGTATGAAATACAAAGAATAGACTATTTTTCCATTTGTGATCACATATGGTAACACTTTTCCCACTGTTTTTTCTTAGTAATGTTTAATTGATTAAGCAAAAAACATATTCACTTAAATGTTTGTACTTTTTATTCATTGTAAAATAAAAATCAAACTTTGAAAAGCATGTGCATGGAATTAAGTTCTTTGGCAACTAAGTAACAAGTCATATAAGCTTTTCTAATATTACCTTTTACAATTCAACAAGTAATAGAATACATACATACACACATATACACACACATGCACGCGCACAGCCACACACAGACACACAATAACAACTAAATAATCTTAACTACTTCAATTCTCCATTAATATAAACAAAGTTTTAAAATGTACCAGGTACTGCATGGCAATAGAGCGTCGAAGGGGTCCAGGGGGCCCTATAAGAAAAACATCTTGCCCCAAAAGATCTTTTTGCATTATCCATCTTAGATGTTGGACTACAGATTGGGCCAAATTGTCTGACACTGTAAGAAAGAAAAAAAAAATTAACTCTAGTCTAAATTATGCAGCTTTAAACAAATACTATTAAATGAGGTTGGTGGCCAGTAGGGATTACTGACATCGTACTCCTTGTTTATTTAGACTTTAAAATTGAATACATAAATAAATTAATCCAAAGTTGAATAACTCAAAAGCAGCTAATTGTGCACATAGTCTCTGTAACCACATATCTACCCTACATACCCTCATTCTCACTGCCTCACTCCCTTCATTTGTTTGTTAAATTCATGTCACAGTTTGTCTCAAATCAGCTTTTAAACTCTTCAGGGCAGGGACTGTCTCTTATTATGAGTTTGGTTCAGTACCTTACACAATGTGGCCCCAGTCTTGACTACTGTAATAATAAATTAATTATTACTGTTAGTAGAGAAACAGGACTTATCTAGCCTATAGTTCATTGCTTTCATACAAAATGATATTTAATAAATGTTTGCACCAGATCAAGTAGCTTAAGTTGTAGTGACAAATAAGGTCTAATTTGCTAGGGTTTTTTTTAATCAAATTCTTCTATACATTTTAATCTACTATAATACAGATAAGTGGCTACGCAGAGTTAAAAATTCTAAGTATAGTCAAATCTTAGTACTTCAGTCTTCTATAATATGATGTCTCCAAAGACAGACTGAAAGTTAACAGACTCAAAGCAGATCCACTGGCTCTACATTAGAGTTGCTGTAGTCAGGGATGGAAGTATACCAGAAAAATACTACTTATCCTGTTAATTTACATTCCAGTATACTGCTCAAAGCATAAATCGATACAATTGATATAGTTTTTGATTTGTGTGTTTATGCTTACTCTCTGATATGCAAAATTTGGTAATTCGGAATAGATTTCCCAATCATAAATAAAAATTAACAAGATTCTTCTGTGTCTTATTTTCATTCTTCCTATATGTTTTGCAGCAGCCTTTTATCGAACAGTCATAAATCTGCTTACAGTACATTACTAGAGATAGTAATGGACTTGTGAACAAAAAAAGTGCCCAAAACTTTTGATAAAATTAAAAACAAAAAACAAAAATACATTCAAAAGCAAATGGTTTCTATGAATGGTTATACCACCACCGACTATACCAGTCAATCTCTCTTGTAGACAGAAACTGTTACAGAAGATTTTGTGCCTTCCACAGCACATCCAATTCTCACCTCAGCATACTCCCAAATTAGCTTCCAAGGCAAAAGCAATATAAAAGTTAGCCTATTCTTTATCTCCCACATGCCACTAAAGAACTCCCCTAGGATCCTAAGTGTTGGGAAAGCTACTGGCACTGAGTCATACAAAATAATTAGCCATTAGGTACAGCATATGTTTCCTCTGTGACATGCCATTGCGGCAGACTGTGAGAGTGTTTAGAAGAGGCAATGAAGGAACACAGAAATAAGGCAGGGATGAACAAAGTTCTTTCACTTTTTCCTTCTAATCAGAGAGGACCTTCCAAGGCAGTGGGTGAAATCCTAGCCCCACTGAAGTCAATGAGAATTCAGCCATTGACTTCAGTGAAGCAAGGATTCCTCCCAGGGCCTTTAGCACTTGGGAGTCTGACACTGAACACATCGAAGACTTCATGTTGTCCTTATACAAGCTCCCAAAATGTGGAAAGACTGTCACATATCCAACTGGGATAACTTTTTTCACACAGGTTCCACTGTCTCCATCCATGGAGGCAGACGATTCTTGTAGATTGCCGAGTTTTTAAGGAAGGGCGTGGTCTGAGCCAGATGGTTAAGCTGAACCATGAATTCAGAGTGGGCCCTCAAAGAGAACAAGGAATCAAACATTCTGAAAAAACAGGATGTGAAGCAGTAAGAGCTCTGGAAAAATCTAAGGGTTACCACATCTCCCTTGACTTAAAAAGATATTAGGCTGTACACACTATCTTCATTCCATACAATCCGCCTCAGAAAAATCCTCCCTATCTTTTGGCCCAGAACAATCTCAAACCAAGACTTATTCACACAGTGCTACCAAGAAGATATGAGCACTATCATTACCAGGAGGCGTTGGAGATGGATTGGCCATGTTTTTCAGATGGAAACTGATTCCATCAACAGAATAGCAATAAGATGGACACCTGAAGGCAAGCAAAAATGAGGCCGCCCAAAAACAACATGGTGAAGCTGAGCTGAAAAATCTGGGGCACATCTGGGGAACCACTGAAAGGCTTGCCAGAAACAGACATGAGTGGAGGAGCTCCCTCACTGCTCTAAACACCAGAGGCGTAATGGGTACTAACTAAACTAGACTGTACAGTCAGTAAGAAGCAGGAACTAATACACAGGACCACTTTTTTTCTATGCAGGCCCAGTAAGAGGCACAGAATAGAGCTATCTGCTGTCCTCTGAGATAATTGCTGTGTGAAAGTCTTTGCAGAATCAGGACCTAAAGCAGGGATCGGCAACATTTGGCACGCAGCCCATCAGGGAAATCCGCTGGCGGGCTGGGACAGTTTGTTTACCTGCAGCATCCACAGGTTCAGCCGATCGCAGCTCACACTGGCCATGGTTCACTGTTCCAGGCCAATGGGGGCGGCAGGAAGCAACGGCGGCCAACACATCCATCGGCCCGTGCCGCTTCCCGCAGCCCCCATTTACCTGGGACAGCGAACCGCAGCCAGTGGGAGCTGCGAACAGTCAAACCTGCAAAGGCTCAGCGGATTTCCCTGATGGGCCGCATGCCAAAGGTTGCCGATCTCTGGCCTAAAGCTTCAGAGGGATATCCCTTAGACCAGTGGTTCCCAAACTGGGGTTCGTGAACCCCTGGGGGTTCACGAAATGTTACAGGGGGTTCTCGGGAAAAAATTCCCTAATGGCGGACAGAGCTGTCTTTAGGGACCCCAGGCAGCACGGGACCAGCAGCACGGAGCCCCTGGACTTCCAAGAGCTAAGCAGATCAAAGCAAACATATCTATCACACTGAGGAGATTTAAACTTCAAGACTCCTTATAAGAAATGGAAAGGGAGATGGATATTTTTTGCTGTTTTTAAAATTAAATAGGCAGCTAATCTTGTTTTTAAAATTATTATGAAGAACAAGTTTAAGCTTTGTTGTAACGTGCGTTGTTTGCCTGGACTGCTCAAGACCTGAATGCTTGTGTAGGAAGAACTCTTTGAGTTGGCTTCTTAAATACCTTCATGCTGTTTCATATCTGATACTCCTTGATGAAACATAGGAGCCTTGTCTTATAACAGGCTTATTCAAAGTGATAAGCTATGAAAGTGAGATCTTGGAAGAATGTTGCCCTTTTCATAATCTAATAAAAATACTGTAATGATAAATAGTAATTTATAATAAATAGTGTGTAATAAGCATGTCATAAAAACAAATTTTATATTTCCAAGATCACTGCTTTTATAATTTATACTCAGGTAAAGGAGAAAATCCCTGGAAATATTCATTTTTAAGAGGGGGTTCGCGAGACTTGACATTTTAGTGAAAGGGGTTCACAGGTTGTTAAAGTTTGGGAACCACTGCCTTAGACAATTTCAGATGCTAGTGATGTACCAAAGCCTTGCAGAAGAAACAAAGAAATCAGATCTTGAAAGATAAGTAATATACAAAGTGATTTTCTAATGTCTGGCTTTCATTTTTTATTTATTATATTTTATGTGTATTTACTGGCTGGGGGGATGATCCAGCCATTTTGATATTGTTATGAAAAATTAATTCTATATGCACACCCAGAGAACAAGATGAGCATATGTTTTATTAATCTAAATAAATGCAATAAATTAAAAATAGATACAAATTATTTATCATTTCAGCTTACCTAGATATTCTGCTAATCATCTCTTGCCCTAAAGATAGCGTTTTGTACCTATTGTGACAAAGTTCCTCCTCTATCTTGGTGGGTCCTGTGCTTATTGGCGGATTTTCTTGCCTCAGAGATTCACCATGTGGGTTGGGGAACAGCCCAGAGACCTTCCCCTCTGGAAGAACCCACAGTCCAGGTCAATTGGGAGGTTTGGGGGGAACCCGGGCCCGCCCTCTACTCCGGGTTCCAGCCCAGGGCCCTGTGGACTGCAGCTGTCTATAGTGCCTCCTATAACAGCTGCATGACAGCTACAACTCCCTGGGCTACTTCCCCATGGCCTCCTCCAAACACCTTCCTTATTCTCACCACAGGACCTTTCTCCTGGTGTCTGATAACGCTGGTGCTCCTCAGTCCTCCAGCAGCACACCCTCTCACTCTCAACTCCTTGCGCCTCTTTCTCCCAGCTCCTCACACTCTCGCCACAAACTGAAGTGACCTCCTTTTTAAAACCCAGGTGCCCTGATTAGCCTGCCTTAATTGATTCTAGAAGCTTCTTCTTAATTGGCTCCAGGTGTCCTAATTAGCCTGCCTGCCTTAACTGGTTCTAGCAGGTTCCTGATTACTCTAGTGCAGCCCCTGCTCTGGTCACTCAGGGAACAGAAAACTACTCATCCAGTGACCAGTATATTTGCCCTCTACCAGACTCCTGTACCCCACTGGTCTGGGTCTGTCACACTATTCATTTTAAAAGCATTTGAATTCAACTTTAAAGTTAATCACATTTCTTGTATGAAAAGCATCTGTTTCAAGTATTCGGGTGAGGAGGGTACACTACAATGCAGCATACAAAACTATTGCATGTTGTTCAAATAAGGTTCTCAGTGCAGAATAAAAAACTTCAACATTTTAAGCTGGATATTTTGACCTGCCATCCAGGAAAACCACTAAAGGCTTGATCCTGCTTCCACTGAAGTCGACCAGATTCCCGTCATTGATTTCAATGGGAACAATATTGGACCCTAAGCACAAATTGTTTAAAACAATGTACACATTTGTATTAACAACCAAAGGGAACAGACAATTCAAGTAAGTGCTTTTAAACAACAGATTATTTATGGACACATAAAAGATAACATATTGTTTATTCCATCTGGTGTCACCATACAAACATATCTATGCTGGAAAAATATTTTCTTCAAATTCAATATG